CTTAAATGAAGACATCAAAACTCCATATTTAACAATATGACAAACTCCTATGCCTATGGACCAGTACATTACAAGCTAACTTACATGACTCTATTTGAATGACTAACACACTCAAAATATGTAATGTTTAACAAATATGCAATAAATGCATTTTACATTCAAAGCTCCACTTGGATCTATTTAAACTGGACAAAGGTCCTCGAAACTCATTTGAGTTAAAATCAAGCCAATAGACCCCATAAAACACTTGAGTATAAGTAAAGTCAATGTAGATCACGTAAGCCAAAAAGACATATTTCCTAAACATTTAAGTCAAACACATGATATCTATAACATGAATAGGTTCATAAACCATCACTTTATTGAAGCATAATAGCAAAAGGTCCAAGACCACATGGTTTGTACTTTCAAAATTCCCACAAAGCAATAAAAGGGATTTATCCAAAGATTTATATACTTATGACCAAAAGGGATAATGTGCCACTATTAGAGCTCATAAGTTGAGTAAAATCCCAAAATCACATCCAATCCGTATTAAATTCAGTAATCCCTTTGACTTGTTTAACAAAAACATTAAAATCATCAATAACCCAAGATACATTTTTCAAGGGTTAAAATAATATTTTACCCCAACTCATCCAAATGTCCGAGAACCCTGATTTGACGGAATAAATATACTTTGGTGTCTCAAAACACCCAATAAAAATATCATAAACATTCTTATAGATTTCACAACCCAAATATGCATAAATGCACACTCATAACCCTAGCTTTTAAAGTTGAGGGATGAGAAGGTTACCTATATCATATACTCTTGAATCCACCAAGAAATGCTCCTCCAAGGCCTCAAAATTGGACCTAGGGCTCCAAAGTATTCAAAAGTGAGAGGAGAAGAGAAGAAATGGTGAAAATGGATAAAAATCGGGGTTTTAAGAAGTTCCCAGGTGTCCTACACGACCTAGCCCGCGACTTAGATCACGTGGCAAGTTGCCCACACTCTAGGTCTGCCAAAACAATGACTCATGCTACCTCGACCACCAGCCAAGTCGCCTGGACCGTCCTTGAACCGTGCCAAAACAATGACTTACGCGTTTCCTCGTGTCGCATTGTGCCGCACCTTGTCATGGCCCGACCATTCTCTGACCGTTCCCGACTATTATGTGATCATTTTCCCAACCATTTTGCCGACCGTTCTCCAAATGTTGCATACTTAATACCAATATTACTCATTAGTATTAATGTCCAATAAAAATGTAAATAGGGCATAGCCAAGTGGCAAGACAACAGGTTTTGGTCCCACTATTTGGAAAAAAGGGAAAAAATTATTTATATACGACAAATTAAACTTACACACTTCTTAACTTTTTGTGAAAATTGAACCCTCGATTTTCAAGAAAGTAGAATTGTCAGGTACCACTGAACCAATAACCATTTTTATAGAAATTCAATTTCATCAAATTGGAATCCAATTTTATTTCTATTGAATTCAATTATTAATATTATTGTTATTGCCATAATATGTTAATAATAATAACAATATCATTGCCATTATTATTATTAAAATAATATAGTATTACTAGTGTTAAATAATAATAACAATAATAACATTTAAAATATGATTGATGATTTAAATAATAATTTATCATAATATTTTAGCATGTTACCACAGATCTATATCAAGATTAAAATCCTTCAATATCTTAATTAGGGTTGTAAGCGAACCGAACGAACATGAACAGAGGCTTGTTCATGTTCGTTCGTTTAACTTGACCGAACAAACGAACGAACACGAACACTAAACAAACGAAAATATTTGTGTTTGTGTTCGTTTGTTTAGAAATCAGGTGTGTTTGTGTCCGTTTATGTTCGTTCATTAACATGTTAAACGAACGAACATAAACGAACGAGCTAAACGAACATAAATAAATATTATTTGAATTCAAAGTAAATAAATAAAATATTATATATTAAATTCAATATATAAACGAACGAATATAAACGAACGTTCACGAACATAAATGAACGAACGAGACTCTTGTTTATGTTTATTTGTTCAACTAAACGAACAAAAAAATTTGTTCATATTCGTTCATTTATTACATAAACGAATTTTTCGTCGAACGGTTCACAAACGGTTCGCTGAACGTTCGGTTCATTTACAACCCTAATCTTAATATAATCATCAACACATAAATTTTTCCATGACATGATGTGCTCCTTTAAATTTAAACTTGACTTGTGATATTTAATAGTACTGTAAATTCGATCTACTGATAAACATTAAATACACATATTTGTTTGGTTCAATTAAGACAATCTGTATTAATAGAGCTGGTGGTCTTAATAATAAGATAAAAGGTAAAATGCATGAAATAATAATTTATTTTTCAAATTTCTTTATTATATATTATATTATATTTTTTTTTATTAGATTCATGTACTTTCAAAATATTTTTTATTAGGGTATCGTACTTTCAAAATTTTTGCCCGTTATAACATTGTGTAACATTTTAAATTAAATATACTCATTATACTAGGTTTCTTTGTCACCTCATCGTTTCCACATAGGCTGTCCGCATATACTATAGTTTTGACATGACATTTCTTATTATAGCATTGTACTTTCAAAATTATTTTATTATAACATCACTAATTTCTATTGCAACATTGTACTTTTAATTTTAATATTTTTATCTCAACAATGGGTAAATTTAATTAAAAGGTTACCTAATACTATAACGAGTAAATTTTTGAAAATACGATGTCTTAATAAAAATATTCTAGAAAAGTAGGTTGTTATTTCACGCATTTTACCCTAATATAAATAATATTTTAGTTCAAAAGTCTATTTTTTTCTACACACTAACGAGGGCCCATTCCTTAAATGAGTTTATATTGATACTTTAGCAAATAATTTTCTTAAAAATAAATAAAAAGGATGTGAACGCACACAAGTCGTTGCAGAAAAATGAAAAAAATAAAAAATAAAATAAAGAATAAATAAACGTGCACTTGAAAATAAAATAATACCTATCATGTGTCGGTGTTTTGTTTCATGTGATTGATATGTGTGATTAGGGGTCTTTTGAGGTATCGTTTGATACGAAAAACTAATAGAATGGGAGTGGATAGAACAAAACTACGTTTTATTTGGTTTGAAAAATCTTTATGTAAGATGAAGATTGTAGCAGCAACAATGGAGGTGGTGGAGGAGGTTGTTGCAGTTGCAGTAAAAGAGAAGATGGAGTTGGCCACCGGTGGTGGCGACGGCTGTGACTAGCGGTGGTGATTAAAACAAATACCATCTTAAGGTTATATAATAAACGATGATAGATTAATAATATTTTAAATGTTGTCTTATTCTTATCCCATTTTGTTTCACAAGAAAATGTTTTTTTGTTCTACGTAGTTTCATCTTATCTCAGTTTTTGTCCCTGTCGTATGTCATGTTAAACGTGGAATAACGAGTTCTTGTCCTGTCTTATGTTGCACCAAACATGGGGACTGTGAGTTTTGTTACGTTCTGTCATGTCCTATCCTATGTACCAAATACAGCCGAAATGTACACGGTTGATTTAATTGGAATTAAAATCAAAACACCAAAATTTCTAAATCCACCACTGTAATAAAGGATATGATGTTTCTATTAAATCATGGTTGAAAATATATTACAATATTTGTGGAAAAATTTAATTATTATTTGATTAGTAAATAGAGTTAAATGTATGAAATAACAACCTACTTTCATAAAATTTCTTATTATAACATTCTACTTTTGTTTTTCTTTATTACAGCAATGTACTTTCAAATTATTTTTTATTAAGGCATTGTACTTTAAAAAATCTACCCATAATAGCAATGGGTAACCTGTTACCTTTTAAACCAGTTAACCCTTTGACTTTTTTGCTTGTGTGGCTTTAATGAGGTGATGTGGATGCCACATCATTTTAATGACTTAACTAAAATTAAAATAAAAACATTTAATTTGTTTTTACTTTTTTCTTATTAAGTTGCATTCAAATTAAATATTCTTAGAGTAAAATATTTATTAAATAAATATGAAACATTATTTTCGAGATATATTTTGTTTGTAAAAAAAGGTAACTTTTCTTATTTTATGTTGTTCAAATAAATACATATCTTTTAAAGTTCTCTTTAAAATATTAACGAAATAAATTGTTATTTACAATTTTTTAATATTGTTATATTAATAAGTAATTCAAAAAAATCTAATTAATTTAATATATTTATACGTCAAGTAAAAAGTTTTTGAACAAATATAATATATTTTTTAAAAGATAATATTTTTTGGTAAAATAGAACAATTCTTATTTTCCTTTTTTTCAAAAAACACATATTTTTTTAAAAATGTTAGCGAGATAAGTTGTGTTCTACTAGTTTYATTGATATTGGTATATTAATGAATAATTTAGAATTTTTTTAATTCATTTAATACATTTATTAAATAACATGTAAAATATCTAAATATTGAAATTAAAAATACAGTGTTTAATAAGAACTAATAGATGCTATAATAAAATAATTTTGAAAGTACAATGATGTAGTAAGAAAGTCACATCACTATATTATATGTGGACAGCCTACGTGGACAATGAGGTAACATGCAAACCTAGTATAATGGGTAAATTTAAATCAAAAGGTTACCCATTGCTATAATGGGTAAATTTTTCAAAGTACAATATCCTAATAAAAAATAATTTGAAAGTACATTACTGTAATAAGAAAAACTGAAAATACAATACTATAATAAAGAAATTTATTAAAGTAGATTGTTATTTTGTGTTTTTGCCCTAATAAATATGGGTTGAGCTTAGAAGCCCATAATATGAGCCCACTTTGACAAACGACGCCGTATGACGAAAGCCAATCCACTCGCAACGGCTAGTTTCCAAAATACGGCGATTAGCCACGCTCCCTCTTCCCAACGGTCATATTTGCCCCTTTTTATCCCGTTGTTAGAACCCTAAATTCTCAATTGCGTTCTTAAAACCCCTTCCCATCTGTATTTTACCCCCACTCCAATCGCTCTGTGTTTCTTTGTCTTCTCACTGCAAATCAGTTTTCCGGCGACTATTTCAACTTTTCCGGTGATCACAGAAACATAAAGGCCTATAATGGAGACTCCACTATCATCAAGAAGAATCACAAGATCACAAGCTATGATGGCTCTGGCTGCAGAAAACACCATACCCATGTCGTCAAGTGAGTTCTCGATCCTTTGGTAATCTCTTTTTGAATAATTTTATCAAATGGGTTTCGTTTTTGATCTTGAAAATCGGTTGTGTTTTAGGAGGAGAGAATGAAGAATCTCTGAAGTTTGCTCCGAAATCAAGACAAAAATCCAACGGTGGAAAACATCAAGAACGAGAAAAGTCTGCACTGATTGATATAACAAATGGTTCACCGATCGTGGGTCTTGCGATGGGAAGTTTAAAGACTCCATCGTCAACGTGTTCGAAGAAGAGGATGATGATTCAGAACACCCAATCGAAACAAGCCACGACTCCTGGATCTGGAGAGTCTTTATTAAGAGGCCAAGTGAAAACCCTCCTGCAAAAAGTCGAAGAAGAAGGAGTGATCTCAAAGATTTCTTTCGAACACAACCCTTTGATCCATAAACGTTTTATGAACTCTCCGGTTGCTGTTCTTGCTCCAACGCCTGCTAATACGCCTCAAGTTTATGACTTTTCAACTAACAACAATGCTTCTGAATCCTTTAATGTTTCTCCAGTTGCTGAAAACTTCAGTTTCTCTCAGGTTTGATTCATCCCCCAAACGGGTTTCTTGAGATTATTTTAACTGGGATTTTGTTAATATATTCTTTTTTCACTGATTACGTGTATACAGATGCTTAATGAGATCATCATTGAACCAAATCAAGAAGATAAGAGTGATTCTGATGAAAAGATTGTGATAACAAGATCATTGTTCATGGATTTCTCCGAGAAATTCGAGGGTTCTGATTCACCTGTCCAAGGTTCTGATGCATCAGTATGGTCGGTTCAGGTGAACGCAAGCACGAGCGAAGAGTATAAAGACGAAGAAGATGATGAGGATTACGAAGATGGTGATGATGTGGTGGTGGATGAGCTTTGTGAAGGAATCAGCAAGATAAGTGTCAACAATGATGCTAAATTCACTGGGAAACACATAAGGTTTGTGTACAACAGTGACGGGGAACTCGAAGGAGAGATGGAATCATCATCGTCGTCGTCGTCAACAAAGACTGCATCTGGGATCTTGTGCTTGAAGGGTTTGCCAACACCAAAGGGGAAACATCTGAGGTTTCCAGAAGAGAATGAGAGTGAAGAAGAAAGAAGTGTCTGATTGATGTTTGGGAATCTTTTGTTAACATGTTTTGCTTGCTTTTTGGTTGTCTTTCTTGCGACACCAACAATCCATTCAAAGTTTTTGGTTTTTTTAAGATTTGAAGTTGAATTCGTATCATACATACATATATATGTTGATATCTCTCAATCTCAATTTAGTGAAAAGAAGTCTTCATTTGTCATCATACCCCCTTGTTTCTCAAAGAATCATGAAACTACGTTTTAGTCCATCAAAACGATATCTTACGTAATAAATTACCCGGTAAGCGCTTACCGTGGTAAGAGTCCTCGCATCGCTCTTACCGGGTAAGATTTTTGGTTCTTACCATATTCATCCGGTAAGGTAACAAGACTTGGTATTTACTTACCCGAGTAAACGTTTGGTAAACACCACCTTTAACTTTTTTTTAAATTTAGAACTTCAAATATATATGTTGATTATCAGTTATGCCTCATCTTGCAAACCCAAAAAAGGTTATGCTTAATACGCGTTTTCAGGTCAGTTTTCAAGTTTTTTAAATCATATAACGTTATTTGAAAAATTGTTCTATAAATACAAACGTCTTGTAAAAATTACATGACACTTCTCAAAAGTATCATATAAAATAACTAATACAACACTTAATTTTTAGAAAGGGGTGGAGGGCAAAATGAAAATAAATTCGAGAAAGCTAAACCTTCAACTTGTTGGTAGATAATCAACCATTTCACCAAAAAGAGTCTTACTTGGACGGGTAAATATTTTTCTAATAACCTTTCGTAATAGCAATAACCAATGAAAAAGTTATGCATTAGGGATGTTCTAAGACACTTTATTTGAAGAGTCGAACACTTTTGAGCGGTCTATAAACTCGATTTTGTTATAATAATGTGATAATTTTCACGTTTCTAAAATAACTAATAATTAATCAAATAATACATGAATAAAAAATTAGAACCAAATACTTTCCCAAAAATCTTAACTGGACCTTTAAGTCCATTCATAATAATTGAGACAAATAATGCTTAAGTATATATATATATATATATAATTTTTTTTTATTAACCTGGATATCCAACCTGCTATGCGAGCCGACTAATTTCAGGACGACTACCTGCTTAGTAGATAACCCGGAGTCACCGCATTTGAACCTCCGTGGCTACAAGGGGATTTTTATTCCTCCTTGAATTTGAACTTGAGACCTTCTGGTACTATTGACTTTTGGAGCCAAGCTTAAATCAATCAGACACCACCCTTGTGGTTATTATTTTTTTCTTATATAGTTGTTTATTATAAATACAACATATTTTTCCTACCAGAATTCAAAAAACCCAGATAATACCTTACTAAATTGACAATTTCCGAATTAAGATTTTGAAACGTTCGTTTTTACAACATATATCATCTTTTCGTAACACAAAACGATAATTTCTTTATGACAAAAAAAAAAGACAAATTGTATCAAAATAAAACATACTTTTTTTTTTTAGTTTGTTATGTTCTTGATACGAGTAAAATTAATGAATTTAGCAGGTAAAAGAAAAGAATTTAGGGGCCGTTTACCAAACACTTACTCGGGTAAGCGCTTATCAAATACCTTACCAAGAATCTTATCTAGTACGAGGGAAACAAGGACCGAGAGTCTTACCCGGTAAGTGAGGGCGATGACTCTTACTATGTTTTGGTGGACTAAAGTCTTACTCGGTAAGTAAGTGGTAGTGATTTCCGATAAGTGTTTACCGGATAAGTTTTTGGTAAACGGCCCCTTAATATAGATACAAATATTTACACTGACAATCACTTTTGTCCAACTTGATTTAAATCAGTTAATATAAATAAATTAATTTAGAATAAGTTGATGAATGAAAACAATTAACATGTAGTATTTTTAGTGATGATTTATATATAACGTCAATTCATTTATGATCAAACAAAAAATAACATAATTCATATAATCGTAAGAAATTAAATACATAAAAAGGACATCTTTACAATATAAATATATACATTTGGGATCATGTGAGACCAAAGTTTTTTCGTGAGACCCGTAAGACCAATTCTCAACCTTTAGATTAGATCTACAATCTAAACATTTATAATCACAAAATTGCCACGAGTTTTCTCAATAATCATAAAATTGTCACCGTGCAACTTTAGACCATTAGATCATTAGCTTATAAAGTTGATCAATGAACATAAATCGGTCTTAAGGGTCTCACGAAAAACCCTTGATCTCACGTGAACCCAACGACACATATATATAAAATACATCAACGTTTTTATCATTATTATTCATTTCATGTAATTTGGACCCAAATTCACCAAAATTAGACCAAAACAAAATTTGAAGTGGGGATAGGACGGAGGTCAAAATCACACAAGTAGTGACAATAATTAAATTAATGAGTGGGGTACGTACCTCCAAATTCAGCTACTTTTGATCCCTCTTTCCACACAATATATATTCCCTATCGTACGTAAAAAATTGGGTTCACGTGAGATAAGATTGTTTTCGTGAGACATGATATCTATACTTAGAACTTTACAACATCGAATCTTTACAGCAAAACACTATAAAGGTTTATCTTCACAGTGTTTGGTGAAGTTTCAAGTGTAAAAATCGTGTCTTACGTGTCTCACGAAAACAACCTTGTCTCACATGATCTCAAGTCTCTCTCTCTCTCTCTCTTTATATATATATATATATATATATATATATATATATATAAACCACCCAATTTGTATAAACCGTGAAAACCACATTCAACCAATCATAATTTTTCATTTTGTTCATTTTTT